GAGTTCAAGGGCAAGTGGCTGCTCTGAGATAGAACTTTCCTCGGGATGAGCTGCTGGAGATTCACGGTTGACCACAATACCACACCTTGTCTAGGTATCTGAGGCCCAAGGACAATGATATGTCTATTATTGGGCTCTTTGGTGTTGTATGCTGTTGGTGCATATCCTAGTATGGTCTTGAGAATTTGTTCACATCAGAATCTGCCCCTTAATGAGGCACTTGATGGAGTCAGATTAGTTTGTGCCAGTACTGCAGATGGAATCCATACTGAAATCTCCATCCCAGAAACACCATCCATATTCTTTTCTTTTCAATGTACCCCAAAGATAAGCTTAAATTTGCTCTTCTCTGGTCCAACAAATAGGAGATAATGGCAGGCATACATGTAACTCCCCAAGGTTTCGACAAGATGTTTCATGATGAAGCAGTTTATCCATGACTGTCTTTACATTATGAAGACTATATCGAGATTGTTCATGTTAACTGAGCTCTTTGGGAATGTTTGAATACTTGAGAGTTTTGAACGTGGTTTTCTTGCGCATTGTATATTCAGCATTGCCATGCATGTGTAATATCTCACACAGCATACTGACTTGGAGTGTTTTTAAGAAAGCACATTGAGGTCCACTGTGATGGCATTAATATTTGACATTTTCTATTAGGTAGAATTTAGCCTACTAGTAAATCAGTCCTACTGTGGTTGTATCGTGGATGCTGGAGAGGGACTAGGCTATGTATATCATGTAATGTAACTGTGTTGCGAGAAATCTTCAGTTCCTCTTTTCATTAACAAATGCAACAACTCGAACAAATGGATATTTGACCACATACTTCAAATCTTCCTTAAACTCATCCAGAATAAGGACATAAATGCAAATGTTTGTACAATAGCTCAGGAACTGAAGCATGTAACCCATTTCTCTTAAAAACCTCGGGAGATATATTGGCTTATATCCCAACCAATACATCCGACTCCATATGGAATAAAGCAATTGCACAAACCATAGCGACATGAAATTCAGTGATATAGCAAACAGCAAAGTGGTGTACTTCCTTTGGCTCTCCATCTCAGTGTCACTGGGAGTCTCCTCAATACTGTGCCCTTCGGGACTCACTGATTCTTTGTCGGTCAGCAGATTGTGCCTGACAGTTAAAGCATTGAGTAACAAAATCAAAACAAATGGGATCCCTGGTGTTACAATATGATGAAACATTTCAATTACAGCCCACACCAATGAATCAGTTGCCGCATCCCTTAAAGCACAAAACAAGGGCACATTTCTAAACTGATACTGATTCGTTAACATAAAAAACCACATGGTGTTCTTCAAACAGAAGACCACTGTCATTGTTCCTAGAATAACCATTACAGTTTTATCAGTGCAATACTTAGCTTTCAGTTTCTGCCAAACGATGCTCACGAATTGATCAAAGATAAAAACAACTGTGAACCAGACTGAACAGTCTGTGGCTGCATAAAGCATGATGGCATGGACATTACACAAAGGTATGGAGTTCATGAAAAAGAACTGTTGCTCATAACGTGTAGGAATCTGCCGTAGTATCAAATCGATGAAAATTACCAGTAGATCTGCTCCTGTAATTGCCATCAGATATTGAGTGATATGTTTGGAGAGACCGCACTTTTCACGATACAGGATCACAATTGTCAGTACATTGGCTGTTGAAAAGGAAGATGGAGAGAAAATATGCATCAGGCTTGGAGGAAAATCAGGTAACTTGATTAATTAACATAACATTTTCACTTTTCTTGCTGTATTCAGTGTTGGAAATCAACATATTTATCCATCGCAGAGCTTATTATTTGACACAGTTAAAGTTGTAAAAACATAAAAATCTGAAAAAGTATGGCATTAAACTTTCCAAATCGTGGAATCATAATAAATAAATCTCCCTGTAGATGTTTCATATATCTGTAAGCATGGACATAGTCCCTAAATTCCTTTGGAAACAATTGTATGGTCTCTGGATTTCTCTTTAATCAATGTTTCTGGGTCACCTTGTAGACATGAACAAGTAATATAAATATCAATATTGTTATTGATTCAGCCTGTAAAAAAAACACAGGACCATTGTTCATTACTCCCAAAAGACCAGTGTGACTGTTTCTGTAGCTCTCAGTGCAAATATTGGTATTGGATTGGAATTGCCTGCAGCACTTACTAAATGGTGATAAACTGGGAAATGCAAATGAACATTAAGATTTGGAAGACTAAGCCCGGAAATCACAAACAAAGTAAGACCGGTACAGAAGGCAATTAAAAGGTGACTCCATATTTGCCTTCATTTGATGCCTGAAATACAAAGAATCTAAATTAAATTCAATCTCGAGTATTACATTCATTTTGGTCTTAAAGATTCTTGCAAACTGTTCTGACAGTATTGAGGAAAAGCTTGCATAGACTGGGTTTGCATTCTGTGATAAAGAAGATTAAAAGCGGTTCAAAATGAGTCATTTAAGATGGCCAAAGGAATAGTATGATCAAAAAGTCCACATGAATGAGACATAGCCCCGAATATTGAATTTTAAAGTTATCATCAGAAACTTCACACGAACAGTGTTCGAGTTTTTAAAATTATGTCGCATGATGCATGCATCATTGGCTAAGCCGACAATTTATTGTCCATTTCAAATCGACATGGGGGAAATCATAGTGAGCAACATTCTTGACTGGTTCCAGTCTATGTGAAAAAATTCACACTCAGCTCTGTAAGGAAAGGAGTTCCTATTGTTTGACCCAATATCAGTGAAGGAACAGTGATGTATTTACAAGTGAGGATGGTATGCAGTTTAGAGGGAAACATGTAGGTGCTGCCCTTGACTTTGTGGGTGTAGAGAGGTTGTGGGTTTGGAAGGTACCTCAGTGAGCTACTACAGTGCATCTTGCAGACTGTGCTACTGTGTGTCAGTTGAACGGAGTGAATTTTGAAAGTGCCAGATGGAGTGGTAATCAGGTGGGCTGCTTTATTAGGGACGTGCTGAGAGCTTTTGGAGTATTGTTGGAACTGCGTTTTTCCAGGCAAGTTAAGAGTATTCCATCACACTCTTGCCTTCTAGGTGGTAGCCACAAGAAGTGAGGTATTTGTTGCAAAATTCACAGACTCTGACCTGTAGTGTAGCCATTGACTGTCAAAGAAACGTGTTTCAATTTTATCTTGTTAGATATAGCCACCGTCTCGCTCTTACGTGATTTTACTGTTATTTAGTGCTTATCAACAGAAGGCTGGATATTGTACAGGTCTTGCTGCAATTGGACATTACTTTCTTCAGTATCTTCCAAGTCGTAATGTGCTCAACATTGTATGATGATTACTGCACATACACCCTCTGACATTTTGATGGATGGGAGTTGGGGGTGGGGGAGTAAATAATGAAGTAACTGAAGATGTTTGAACCTAAAACCGTGCCCTATGGATTTCCTGAACAATTATCCTGAATTAAGATCATTGCCACCCCCAAACCACAGCCTCTGTGCTGGGTATGACCCTAACCAGTGAATAGAATTCTCCTGATTCCCATTGATTCTAGTTTTGCTGGGGTTTCTTGATCATATACATGGTCACATGCTGCCTTGATGTTAAGGTACTCGCACTGAGTACCAAGATCTCTCTTGGGTGAAGCTCTTGTTAGTCATTGAGGCCTACAGCACAGAAAAAGGCCCTTCAGCCCATCTTGTCTATGATGGTAAAAGAGCAGTGATTCCAATTCCATTTCCCAGCAAGTGGTATCAAGCATTGTGTGCCTTGGCATTGCAAATGCACATCTAAATGCTTCTTAAATGTTACGAGTGTTTGCGCCTCTATCAAATTCACAGGCATTGAGTTCCAGATTCCCACCACCCTCTGGATGAAAAAAGTTATTATTTCTCATATCCCCTCCAAACCTTCTGCACCTTACATTAAATTTATGCCCCAATCAATTATCCTCCAACAAGGGGAATGGTTTCTTCCTGCCCATGCTTATGTCCATGTTTGAACCAAGGCTCAGATTAGAACAGAACTTGAACGACCGTGAAGGAACTGAAAATTGGCACCAGTGAACATCTTAATTCCTAATTAAGTGTTGCATTCTGACGTTATTATTGACACTTTATACCACTTTTCTGACAGCAGACCGCAGACTCGTAAGGTGGACTTAACCACTTAAACTTGGTTTATTCAAGTTGGACTTGTCCTGTACTTTGTCAAGTGCTTCTGCATTCCTTGTTTTATGAATAGTTGCCTTGGTCCATAAACAAGTGCACACAATCTCAACATTCGAGGTTTGCAGACCTTCCAACAGCAGCCTTTCCAGCGACTGCTGAAGCAGGGCTGTGATCTCAACGTTTTTCTATCCTTTATTTCAATGCGACCTGCACGTTCCTGGTGAAGACAGCATTTACTTTGCACGACGAAGTGCCCTGCTGACGGTGGTCGTGAGTAGCCTTCTTGAAAAGTGCAGTCTTCAGGGCGTAGGAACACTCGCGGTGCTGCTAGAACTGCAGTTCCAGGAATTCCGAACCAGCCACAGTGAAGGACAGGCAGATAGTTTCAAGTCAGGATCGTTCATCTCCTCATCTTGGATTCATTTTAATACTTCTCACATCACGGGGCTGCCCTGTAATCCAGTTTTCCTTCTTATCAGTGTCTTTTAAACGCATTTCCCATATCAAAGAAATCTGAGATCGGTAGGACACCTCCAAATACGTATTTATACATTTTTGCAGCGACCCTTCTGACTACAAATCCCTGCATATATTCTCCGTCAATGTATCTCATTTCAAAGGATACCACTGAGATGTGTCCGGGGTGAAACACTAATCAGACGTTTCCCTTTAATCCGGCTATTAGCAAACAAAAATATGTTTAAACATGTTTCACGGAATGAATTGCGGTTAACCAAAAAGCCCTAGCATCCTTGTTCATGAATTTATAAATGACGAACGATAAAACAGCAGAGCAAAGTTTATAGAATTAAGATCAGCTTATAGAGACTTACCAATGACACCAATGACAGCGAGGAGAGGATAGTAAACCCGTTCTATGTTGTAGAAAGCCACGAGTGTCCGAAAATCCGTTGAGACTTGATGGCGAAAATGCATTGCTGTACTATTCCATTCTGCTGCACTCAGATTCTGCTCAACTTTTGTGAGATTCGAATTGACTAATGGCAGCGTCTGATTCATGTTTTTCCTCACCGAAGCGCGGTTAATCCACGTTAGCTTCCCGTCCCACAATAAAGAATTTGGTATCGAGTATTGTAGGAGCCTCTTATATACAAGGGCATGAATCTATCCGTGGCACTCACCCACCAACCTCATTTTGACGAAGACATGCCGAGATATCTCTAACGTTGCAACACTTATTCAATCCAATGGAACCGCAGCAAACAAATTGCAACGAAGTAACAACTGACGTAATGTCAGAAACACTTCAGTTATTGTCACAATCTCAGGAACATGACCAAATACCGACACTCTCGGGCATCTTGCAAATCCTGACTGTTCGGTAGAGACCTATGTGATTAACAAAACTCACTCCGAAATCCGGGCCAATACTAAAATTCTCACCCAGCAAACATATTGTACATACTGATCCTAACAGTAGGACAACTGGATGTGACGACTAGCTCTGGACATGAACAACCTCCAATGAGACACGAAGTACCCTCTGCGGCTGGTGATAATATAGATACAATTGGTGGATCTTCCTAAATTAAGCATCCCAAGGCTAATTCCATAAAAGTAGACATTCACAGATTGTCCCAAGCATCGTGGCGTACGGCGTGCCAGGAGAATGCCTTTAAAGGACTGATCGACTCAGGGCATAACCATTATGTTTGATACATACTAAGTATCCGCCAACCTTAACAGTACACCGCCCCCCACCCCCCTCCAACTGTGCACCCATGGATGTTGACCATAAACTACGAGTTCCACATATATAAATGCTGGGACACTATGATCTGTGTACGTATGGTACTCCCGTGCGCTGAGCTACACGCACACGCAAGGAAAATGAACTTCTCGATATCCAGACCAGCGACAATTCCGCTCAGATCCTCGGTATCCAGTTGATGCAAGGAAGGTCCCAGTAATCGCGTGTGATACACGATTGAACTCGTTAAACATCCTACATTCCAGTGATTTCCTTCTAAATATTTCCCATTCTCAAAATGGTTCTGAGAATCCAGAAACTTCCCGTGTAATCGGCCCCATTATCCCAAGTGTACTTTGTAATATTTAAATATGATATCCCAACGATGTCCTGCAGAAGATTTCACTATCAACTATCCCGTGATATATCTTATATTTGCATGTCCTCCCAAAACATGTCTCGGATCTGACAGCCCAGCGACACCACCGGATTACTATCATACTTCAGGGAGCACATATAATACTCGACACTCTCTGTTAATTCATCTTCCATGAATGGAAAGCAATTTTCCCTCGGATCCCTTTGACTCTGTAGCATACCATTGGGCTTCCCTGTAACACAGCCTACCTGTCATAGACTCATCTTAAAACTTCTCACAGCAGAGAAGTTCCTTTCAGATAACAGCGTCTGGAAACATTTCTTCTATTCCATAAGAGTCTGTCATTAAATTTCACGCCAGGCAGTAATATTCTTTGCATTCGGCATCTCCATTTAAAAAAAAATCTGTCAAGGATAACGAGCAAAGATATAAATCAGCAAACCAAAGAGTTTGACAATTGTTGACGTAATCTACATCCCATTTTGCTGCTGTCAGTATGTCCTTTAACTGTTACAGAGGCTCACCAGTTCATCCGTCGGGCCTTCCATCAGCCTTGAAGTATCTTTCGAGTTATTTTCTGGAGTTCAATCTCTTCGCCCAACGGATTTCTTTTGTAAACCATTAGATCAGGCGGGAACATTCACCACAGCCCGGAGTCGGTCTTGACCTTCATAACCGATTGAACGTTAATTTCACAAATGGGCCGGGAAGTTTTATACAGACATGGTAACATGTTCTCCACCTTGGAAATGGGAAGCAGAAAGAGACAGAGAAAGGGAAAAATACTACACCAACTGTGTGTGAATTAGATGGCCCAAATTACGATTCTGTCTTTTCTCTTTCGGATCAGATCCGATCGGTTGTGGTGTCGTGAACACTAGCGCCACTTAGGAAGCTTGTACTGTTGACATCGGGAGTTTGTATCAGCAAACAGTCAGACAAGGTTATATGTGACAGAGAGCAAAGGGACAGTGCGGCATGTGCCAGGGACTGACTGGATAGTACACCGTGTGATCCAGCGACGTTGAACACCCCAAACGTGGCAAACAAAAACGAAGGCCCAGTTCAGGTGTAAGAAGAGAATGCTGGTCATTGTCAAATGGCAAAACGTCAATTATGGAAAGAGTTGAGGCCCTTCGATCAGAACTGGAAACTTATGTGGCAGATGTTAATGAATCCCACAGAGAGGGGAAGATGACGAAGAGGAGAATGACAAAAAAACAAGATGTAAGATTCGGTCCACGCCAAGAGAGATTAAAAGAGTTTGACGGTGCCGGACGGTAGGAGATGACTATGGGACATGTAGAGGAATAACGGCTTCGTCAAGAGCAGGTGTAATACAACAGAATTCAAAGGGTCCAAAACATATGTAGACTTTGCAGTATGTACCAGGAGATGGCTGGCTGGTGAGTGGAAGCTTGTGCAAGGGTTTATGGTGTCAAGTGGCCTGATTCCACAAGCTAAGTATTCTACACATACAAACACACGGATACAAACATACACACACAATCATATACACACAGACACAAAGTGGCAAACACACAAGCACGCAATCATACACAAACGTATACACACACGCTATCATACACACACAAGCACATGCAAACATACACACAAACACAAACATATACAACCATACACAATATGCCCACAAACACACAGATTGATATATGGCTGCAGTGTTTGTGTAGGAATGGTTGAAACAATTAATGTTGATGGCTCGTGTTCATGATGGAAAGCAGGCTTGATGGTCTGGCTGGATATTTTCTGTCCACCAATTTCATATGTTCTTGACACTTCATTTGAATTGGATGGTCAGGGTAAGTATAGATACCTTTACCCATAGAGTGTAACATGATTGACAGGCGGAGCCGAGAACGAGGGAACAATCGGCAGTCCCACATCCAAAATACAATATTATTTCCTGAGGGTCTAGAGACTGGGCCGTCATCGACCATGGATCCGCACAACAGTTGACATCGAAAAAATAAGACTACCCTGCTTCTAGTAAATGTCTCTGCGCTTTCTTGTTCGTCATAATAATGTCTACTGCAGGGAGTCTAATTCGCTTTTGGTGCAATATTTGGGTAAGGATGTAAACTGTTGAGTGAAAGTCATTCCCTGTCCTCATTGTTCAGTGCCTGTTATTAACAGCTGCATAATTAACAGACTGAGAGGGTCTTTCTTTTCTCTCTCTGCCCATACGTGTTGTGGCAGATTTTCAAAGCAATGTGGAGAGTTTCATACGGTTTCACATTCCGTACTGTGTAAGTACATGTTTCAAGAAACGTTGATCCTTATAGTGTGGAAGGAAGTAGTTCAGTTCCTCTTATCAAGACTTTTTCTTTCCAAGAGCAGTCCACATGAGGATCCACATCTTCCACCCACATTCCCAAAAATCCTACAAATTAGATTTCTTCAAATAATTGCATGCCTCACTGCGTTCGAGAAAGATGTTTTGAATTTCGAACTATTGAAAAAAAATGAAATGTCACTTGGAATGTTGTATTGTTAGAACCGTCGTGAAAGTTTAGTCATTTTTGTTTCATTCTCTTATCAATTTCGGTTTGGAACTGTGAACTCAGAGCCGCGAGCCTGCTTTAATTTTCTTTTCTTTCCTGCAGGTTATATAATTTCGATTTAAAAGTCAAGTGAATCTGCCTCCACTGTACTGTCAGATGTTGCATTCCAGATCCGAACCACACATTTGATATAAAAAAATGACTTTCCTCATGTCATGTTTAGTTCTTTTTCGATTTGCTTTTCTGGCATCCACAATACCGGCAGTAGATAATGCTCTTCCACAGTGGAGAGAGGGTGTGGCGTTTTGAAAATTGGTGCATTGCATTGACCTACATTGCCAAGAAGAGCAAATGCACATTGTGGATGCTTCCTGTAATCTTTTGATAGAACCATTGCAACAGTTTGTAGGAATATCACTATATCATGGTGAGTACATTGGCGGGACAGAGCTCTTATGTGTAGGAAAGGGATAAGTTGAAATTGTTATTTTAATTTGTATAACTTGAAATATCTTCATTTAGACCTGGTACTAAAAAGTCAAGGATGTGGTCAGATGCTTTTAAAAACTGGAGTTATCTCAGATGGAAACCAAACACTACCTGGTTTACATTCAAAGGGTACATGGAGCCTTGAATTTCTTATCGTATCATGACAAATTTAATTGTGTCACAGATCTTTGATGAAGGAACCAATCACAACATATCTGCTTCAAAGATCATTGGATCTGACTACGTATAAACATAGTCTCTGAGGGATGGACAGTTCAGACAAATAAAATGACATGATATTGCATTCTGATGGTAGGAGATGCTCAGGACTTCATAATTTAATCAGAGTACCAATCAATGCAAAGGTTTATTTCATTGTATTCATAAATTTGTCCCTGAATTTAGTTTTCAGGTGTTTTTAAAAATTTCTTCTTTTGTGGGATGTAGGCGTTGCTGGCTGGTTAGCATTTCTTGCCCATCCTTTGAGAATGTGGTGGTGAGCTGCCTTCTTGAACTGCTGCAGCCCACCTGCTGTTGGTTGACCCACAATGCCAATATGGATGGAATTTCAGGAATTTGACCCAACAACAATGAAGGAATGGCAATATATTTCCAAGTCAGGCAGGATATTTCCAAGTCAGGATGGTGAGTGACTTGGAGAGGAACTTAAAAGTAGTGGTTTTCCCATGCATCTGCTGCCTTTGTTCTTCTAGATGTAAGTGTTTTGGGTTTGGAAGGTGCTGCCTGAGAATCCTTGGTGATTTTCTGCAGTGTATCTTGTAGACAGTACACACTGCTGCTGAGCATCGGTTGTGGAGAGAGAGGATGCTTGTGGATGTAGTGCCAATCTAGACAGGCTTCATTGTTCTGGATGGTGTGAAGTTTCTTGAGTGTTGTTAGAGCTGTACACATCCAGGCA